CAGCCAGAATTCTGGGAGTTGAAGTCCACTCATCTTAAAGTGGCCAAGTTTGGACAACACTGTTATAGAGGGAAGCAAAATTGTCTTTGTCCCTTAACTAAGCCTAAAGCTGGACTGAAACAGATCCAGACAAGGCAACACCTTCATATATCCTGGAAGCTGAGATAGCCCTACCTTGTCCAGGAATGAAACATTAGACTAGCTGGAAATTTCACCAAAACACACATACAAACACACACAAACTCATCTGGCTTGAGAAAAGAGACTGTTCTGTAGCAGAATGGGTGGTATACCAACGAAACATCTATTCTCTCCACTAACCTGGAGGACTGTAGATTAAATTGATGTCCTGAAGATGATATGGACAGATGTCGATCTGGCAAATTTGGGTATGAATGTTGTGGTGAACAAACACAGTAAACCCTGAACAATATGAAAAACTATAGACAGTCGTTCCCGAGTGCTCACACACATAAGCTAGGGTTAGTTTCTTATTTTCACTGGATCTGTGCTATTATGCCAGCTATTTGATTATGAAGACCACTCCCCCGGGCAAAACTTTCAGAAACAGTAATTCCAGGGTATGAGAGAGGGTTTTTTTTTTCATTCTAGTATTTTTCCTGCATGTGCAGTGTCCGCTTTTCTTTTCTTTTTCTTTTTTTTCGGATCAACCAAATGTTGATCCATTGGTTGTGACTGGAATTGACCAACTGGTTTGTCACCCAAGCCTGACATTGTGGGCTGAGAGAGAGCGACTGGCCCAAAGTCACCTACCCGGCTTTCCTGCCTAAGGAGGGACTAGATAATGTCGATGAGGTGTTCACATCAGCACATTTGGGTAAAATTAAATGTGGGTTGGAGATCAAATATTCTGTCTGTAGTTTGGAAGTCTGGAGATGGGGCCTTTGTTATTTTTACATTTTTCACAGAGCTTAGTGACACAGGGGGCTCAGAAAATAAATGTATGTTGATAAAGGACACCTGAATTAAAAAGGGGCTGTTGGGACCTTGATGTTAGCTGAGCTTGTTTTTCTTCTTGCAAACATTTCATTGCTAAACTAGGTAACATGGCCAGTGCTTCAACACAAAGGTTTGCTGGCTTTTATTATTCCTTAATGCTCACCCGGCAATCAATGCATCGATAAGGGAGAACCAACACAATAAGCAGGAACAATCTAAGATAAATCATGCAACCAAGCAAGGTCAATCAGAAACAGGCACACCAACTACAACTCTAACCATGTTAAGGAGGACAAGCTGTCACACCGAACTGTTCAGCAAACCCCACTTCCTTGTACTGACTATGTTACTTAGTCTGGTGATTAAACTTTTGCAAGAAGAAAGCCAAGCTCAGTGATGTAATGGTATATGGCAGTGTTCCTCAACCTTGGGAACTTGAAGATGTGTGGACTTCAATTGCCAGAATTCCCCAGCCAGCCATGCTGGCTGGGGAATTCTGGGAGTTGAAGTCCACACATCTTCAAGTTCCCAAGATTGAGGAACACTGCCATATGAAAAAGACCTTGAGAGCCTAGGCTGAGAGACACTGCCTAGGGTATGGTCAGATGAGAGACAGCATAGCCCACACCTGGATTGTGGGTGGGGCAAGAGGCTCAGAAGGGACCCTCCTGATTTCTCAGGCTGTAAAGGAGATGGGGGGGAGTTGTACTTTCAGACTTGCAAGACTGATGTCGGCTTTACTAGGTAGACCAGGCAGGAAACACAACCAGAACTAATTCTACTTGATTGTAAAGCTACATTAACAGAACCTTGCAAGTCAATTAAAGACCTATACTCTCCACTATTGCTTAAAAAAAGGCAGCCAGACTCCTACTGCAAGACCACAAGGTGGCAGCTAAGAGTTGGAGTTTTCAGGTTCTCTTTGCTGCCGTCTAGTGGTGATGTGGAGTTTTGCATCTGAGATCTGGTAGATGAGTTAAAAGGCCACCACAATGGCTGGCATGGAGTGGGAATCATGGGTAATGGAATCCAACACCTTTGGATGGTCTTAGGTTGGAGAAGGTTGGCATAAACATTCACAAACTGTGGGTTCCTATAGTTTATGCCATAAGAAATGGGTTAACCTTTAAATTACCTCAAGACCTTAATTGTTTTTTTCCAGCAAACAAAAATGCAGCCACCCATTTGGAAACATTTTAGAATCAGATGAGAAAAAGCTCCATTTGGATTCGTAATGCATCTTTCCTTTTGCTTTAAGCAATAACGAGCTGGAGTCCTACAGTGTTAAACCATAATGCAGCTGATTTGATTTGGATTATCTTAACTGGTGAACCTAGCCTTTTTGCTTCATAAACTAGGGCATATGGTATAGCAAAACCAACAGATTGGAAGTTAGTCAACAAACCATGGTTAAATAATTTTCTCCAAGCTTAATTCCATTGCATTCAGCATGTGTATCATACAGATAGGTATGCATTTAGCTCTGTGTGTATGATCACATAAGTTAAAACTTTCATCCAGTTCAGCATGTGCTGCCGTTACTAAGGAGTAAATCCTATTCAACAAAAAGGCAGGTTCTTTAAATATACTTTTTTCCAAGTTAGTTAAGGACCTAGTGACCTGCATACATCTAACATGCTAATCTTGGTTGGGTGTGTGTGACTTTGTTATGCAAACCCAGCCTGTCTGCCAAGTTCTGGATTCAATATATTGTGTGAACTCAAAAGGAGAACACAGTTGCTATGCTTTGTAAACCCAACCAGTGAGATTAACTTCTGAGTAAATTTTCTTAATGCTGTCACTTAATTCATTGCATTTGCACCTTTTCCAAGGCATACATTTCCACTTGAACCAAGGAAGTCCTTCTAAAAGGGTAGAGGAGTCCCTACAGCTTACATACATACTGTATATATTCCAGAAGGAACCATCTTAGAGAAGTATGCCTGAGAAGAAGCACCTGAAAAGCAAGAATGCCCACCACTCAATTTGTAAAAATAGTGAATTAAAAGTGAGTTAATTTTGAAGATATTATACCATTAATCTGAATGTTTCCAATTAACATGAGCTAAAATCAGTCTTCCAATTCCCCCGAGAGTAGGCAAAGATATTGTCATATCCTGATGATATTTCCTGTTACAACTTTCCATCAGTCTGCAATTTCCTTGACTGTCCTTACTTCCTGATCCAGAAAAGCCCAATGAAATTTTAGGGAACTGGGGCCGTCAAGGAGACTGGAGATTACTAGACAAGTTACTGTCCAAGGAGAAGGAGAACGTTCCTGCATCCTACTTAATCACCTTGGATTAATGGAAGCAGGAACATGATACTCAATAGCATTTCACTGACATTTCCTCTCTGGGGGTGAGGGGAGGAAGCAATCTATTTTTCATCAGATGGAGGAGGAGGAGGAAGAAGAAGAAATTTCTGCAGAGCACTGTATGGCACTATATTGTCTAACAGATCCATCATATATCATAGTCCAAGTGTCATACTAAAAAGAAGGAAAAAATTAAAAGGTGTTGTTATTGCTAAAGCCACCCAATATTTATTTTTGTTTGTTGATTTGTTTCAGTATACATCACTTACCTGAGTATGACCACATTAAACCCAGCAGAATTTCCTTCTGGGTAGACACGCATAGGATGTAACTGCACCGCTGGTGCATTAAATGCAAACAGACTCATACCTCGCTAAAGTGGGGCAACCATGACAAAGGACAAAGCTCAGAAATTGGCAGCCCTAAGACCAGAGATGTGAGGATAGAACTACAGCCTTCATGTGACTTTAGGCATGCATGCAGATATGTATAGACACTAATTCAGAAGCCAGAGTTGTGAAAGTTAAATTGCTATATTAAAATCAAGGAAAAGATGGATTAAAGCTTCTCTTTAGAAAGATCCCAGTCCCTTAACAGAGCAGAACCTCTAGCCAAGAGTTGGGTGAAGGGTCTTAAGATCATCTGGCTTAATATCATCTAGGGTTCCAACACTTCCCTGGAATTCTTTCCCCATTCTCAGGAAAGCTTAAAACAGAGGACATTAAACTCAAATATAACCTAGTGAATGCCAGACTGAATAGTGAGATCTTCAGAGAGGAGAACACTTTACCACTGTCTTCTTAAACATTATGTTTTAAAATTTTTATTTATAGCATTAATTATTAATACTTCCAGATTTTACCTAATGAGGTGACCTTCTCATCCCCTTGACTGGGTAATTAGCCTTCACACCAGTGAAAATTGTTTGTCACAGTTTCATCCAAATATGTCCCATTTCTCTTCTACCTTAACAATTTCCAGCTGGCCACCCATCTCGGCAACGTCGGCAACTAGGCCTGTTTAGCTACTGGACAGTGATTGTATCACATGCCGGCATCATGAACATAAAGGAACAATGTTGTCTTACCTGCACATAACTTCATGGGTGAGTAGAACTCTGCACATTTCTGGGTTCTTGTTTTGTCCTTCGTAGGTGATGGGCTATAACAACATGGAGAACGTGGGTGAGTCAGTTTAAAACAAGCAAGACACTCTTTTTTCTCTCATGATTTACCAATCTGAGCAGAGCTAAGAAAGTAAAAACAGGCCTAGGAATTGCAAATCTTCCAGAAGAGCCTTCTCTAACGTTGCCCCCTCCAGATACATTTAGAGTTCAGGATTTTGGGAGCTGCAGTTCCAGTATGGTCAAAAAGTACCAGATCGCGGAATGTCTTTTTGCACACTGCAAGTGAAGTGCTACCTAGAAACCTTCCTTTGAAGCAGCTTTCATAGAAGATATAGGCTATCCCCGTTAAGAGATGGTGACTGTTTCTCTGAATAACAAGATAGGTTGAGGTTAAAGGATAGGAGCAGAAATCTCACCTGTTTTGTGACTGAATCAATGAGTCTGACAAATAGATCTTGTTCAGTCCTGACACCTACAGGGAACAGGAAGAAAAAGGGATGGGAGCAGGATAAACATGTGGTTTTTTTCAAAGGATTTGTTCCCCAGCCAAGCACCCATTTTCATCTTTTAGATGATTGACAGATAGATAGATAGATAGATAGACAGACAGACAGACAGACAGACAGACAGACAGACAGACACGACAGACCGACAGACCGACCGACCGACCCCACTACAGGCTGCCTTCTCTCACAGGTAAGCTGTTTAGGGGAGGAGATACCATAGTGCATGGCACTAAAGCACATATATATTGCATTCATATACAGCCACCCACATGATCCATCACATCCACCTTCCTCAACCTGGACCACCTAGACTCAGTGGATGACAATTATAGGTTATGGGAGCTATAATCAAGACTAAGAATAGTTACTATGTATCAATAACTCCTTCCTTTTCAACATTATCCATCAGCCCACATTTCTCTCCATTCCTTCCAAGCTGTTGTTCTTCCCTCCCTCTCCCTTTTTTCCATGGTGACCTCAAGGCAGGACTTTGGGGCAGATGTCATTCAGAAGAATGAATCAGAAGGCCTTCAAAATGCAGGCAGATTGCCTTACCATGTTTTTAATAAAGTCATAACATGTAATTGGATCCAAACTAAGTCATACTTGAATACTTAAGAATAAAACTGACCTTGAATCAAGTTTGACTGCCTCCATGCAGCTTTTCAGCAGTTACCAAAATGATTGGCCACCGCCTTTCCCAGGAGTTGCTAGTTTGTTCCCAGTCTAAACAACAGCCCCAGAATTCCCAGGAATTCTCTCACCCCAGTATTAACTAGAGTCAGTCCACTTAATTTCTAAGGTCAACCAAAGTTGGCTAGATGCTGCTTCAAATAGACCCATTACAATCAATGGAGCTTAGGCTATTCACAACCAACTTAAGCCTCACTGATTTCGTTGGCTCTAGTCCAAGTATTACATCTGGATCTCATCTTCTGCCATTCCTGGTACAAAACCATCTAGTCCCACACCTAAAATTATCAAACTGAACCATGACTAATAGATTCCCTATCCGTTCTTTCTCTGCTTACATTCACAGAATGTGCTAACCCAAACTGTGATTGTTTATTTTTCACTTAGTGTATTCTATAAATCCAGTTATAACCGTGGAATATCTTTATTAGAAAAAATGAGCAATCTTTTCTGGTTCTTTACTAGATAGGCAGGGTGCTTAAGCTCTCCAAAAAGAGTAATGCAAAAATCCCTTCGTTATCGAAAGAAAACTCCAGTCTGGATTTGTACAGTAGAATTTGTTGCTAATGATGCTGGTAGCATCCACACTGAAACTGACTTGAGATGCAAGAGTGGCTCTTTGGGTGATCTTATCCATTTGTTGTCTTTTTCAAGTTGTTTGAGGGAGGCATAATGCCACTCAACCCCTATACCTGGAAAAGTGTTCCTCCCCCCAAGGTTGCCTCCCTTTGTAACTTTCCTAAACCCGCATTCCAAAAGTGGCTCAAAACAATGGCATAAACGGGGGGAGGGGGAGAGATCAAAACTACATACACATTACACATGCTTTCCACATTCATACAACTGTGTATGTTAATGCATATATTCACATTTGTCACCACCTGATGGAGACTAGTGGACCAACTCTACCATTAAATACATACATACATACATACCCCTCCTTGTCTGACGGCAGCAGGATCAGTCATTAAGCCTCCCCCAATCTAGTGCTTTCTATACTGGAAGACACCTTCAGGAATATTGGAATACCCCTCCCATCATGCCCAGCCAGCATAATGTCCATACAAGTTACAGATGATGGAAGTTTCAGCCAAATACACCAGTGAACCGTAGTATATTAGCACCTTCCTCTGACTGCAAAAAGATAAGCACAGTCAGACCTGGCTAAATACTTGGACGGAGGGCAAGCACAAAAGCCCAAGACTTAGAGCAGACTAGGCAGTTAAAAAAAACAGGAAAAGAAATTCTCAGAGAAAGGCAACAGCACAGAATTTCCATACTGCTGCAAGAAAACTACACAGACATGACCATGAAGGATATAGTTGTGTCCGTGACATCACCAGGAGGATAGGTGGCTTTACCTTTTTCATACCTGGAGGGCACCAGGTTGGGGAAAGCTAACCCTGATAATTAGCTTACTCCTTCAAGGCCCTTTGTTTGGAGTGGGCTGGAGAAGGACTTACCGTTGCTGTACAGAAGCTGTAATTTGTAGTGTGTCCCATTATTTGTTTTCTCGTTGCCCTGTTCCTGAGAAGTGAAAGAAAAATGGTTCAGAGTCTGGGTTCACATATCACACTAAACCCTTAATTGTGGCTGACTAAATCATTAGATTGAGTTCCCACTGCCAGAAACCATGGCTTATACATCACAATGGTGGGCTTGACCCAACACAATGAACCAAATCTAAACAAGCCACATTATGGTTACTGGGATGTGTGAACCCAGCTAGAGAGTTCCCAGAAGCAAGTTCAATTCATTAGTTCTTGCTGCCATAGAATTCATAGCAGTAGCACAATCTTTCCTATTGCTTGTTCAGCAGAAAGACCCAATAACTGTGTTTGTCGATCCTTACCCATGGATAACTGAATCATGGTTCATTCAATTAATCCAATTTTCTGGGCTCCCACAGCATATTGAATTATAAACTAGACACACAACACCCGTAACAAGTTGGAGGTTTAATATGTTCTACAAGTTACAGCCTCTAAGCTCAATGAAAACTTAGTATATGGTTGGTTCAGGAGATTCCTTTTTAAGACTAATTAAGTAACTCTTGCAACTCGACAGAGTTTACTTAGAAGTCAGTTCTGTTGTGCTCAGCGGGCTCTGCTCCCAAACAAACCTCCATAATATTGCCCCAGTTTAAGACTTGCAGAAGAGAGGACCCTGAAGAACGAGGCAGATGTTTCCAAACTGGCATGGATCATTATGTTCTTCTGTCAATAGCTCAAGTGGCGGATATGCCAGTTTCATATCAACCCTCTGCAAGGGGAGATATTTTGTGGTTTGGGTCCTGCTAAAATAACCAGGAAGAGAGGGACCGCTGTGTTGGGCAAGTTCTTTTTCTTTCTGAAACTTCACTGAACTGGGAAGGTGGACTTTGGACACAGTCATTTCAGAGACAAGGTAGTGCCTGTTCCAAAAAAAAAAATCCAAGGGAGGCAGAGAAAAGAAACTGCAAATCGGGCAATTGAACCTCTTTCTGTCGGGACCCCCGATCAAGTAATAAATGTCAGTTTAAAAACTGAGGGATACCTTAACTGCAAGGCCAATAGAGTGGAAAGTCACAAGTATCTAAATGGATATTCTTGACTGATTGCATCACCCCTTCTCCCTCCCGCGTGGGCTCCCCCAAAGAGAAACCCTCTAAGTCAAGACTGCAGTCCTAAATCCACCCCTATTCTTCCGAAGAAAACCTGTCCAGGCTTCATAAGGGCGTAGATGTAGGGAGGAACGACCCGGCGCGTTGAACTGCGGGTGAAATTGACTAGAGCAGGGTTCCTCAACTCCCGCAACTTTAAGATGGGTGGACTTCAACTCCCAGAATTCCCCAGCCAGCCATGCTGGCTGGGGAATTCTGGGAGTTGAAATCCACCCAACTTAAAGTTGCCGGGGTTGAGGAACCCTGGACTACAGCACACGGGGCGAGCCCGGTCCCAAAGCACAACGGGAGGAAAAGTTCTCCTTCGCAGTTAGAAATCAAGCTCAGCTTCTCTCCCCTCCGTTCCGGCTCGTTTGGGTCCAGATTCGCGTGGAATCCCTTCCTAGCCAGGGAATGAGGAAAGGGTAGCTTTTAAGCTCGAGACCGAAATTGACCAAAACTGCAAAGGGAACCCAGGAAGAAGGAGAAGGAGAATTATTATTCAGGAGCCCGGGTTCCTAGGGTCTAAGCCGTTTTTGAGAGAAGCCGCCTGGATCCCACCGCAATTTTGGGAAAGACCTTTTTGCTCGCAACAGATCGTGTTACACCCGTCGTGGGAGGAAAGGCAGAGGCGAGCGGGTTGGACCGAGGCAGGCGGGAGGACAGAAGACCAGAAGCGGAAGGCGATCCTTACTTTGTCGTTTTCCACGAAGTCCACGAACGCCGTCCGCTCGATTTCCACGGGCTGACCCTGGCGGTCGTAGAGAGCCAAGACGAAGTGGAAGAAGTTGGATTTCCTCAAGTTGGAGGGGGGCTGTTTTTCGAAGTGGGCTCGAGACAAAGCCACGCCGCTGTGGAGGAAGGAGAGGGCAGAACGAGAGGATGAACCGGCTCAGCCCGCAAGTTCCGCGCCTTCAGCCGCGCTCCCGCCCAAATCCGCGCGCGTACAAGCGCAGCTGCCTCGGGAACCCAGAACAGGCTCATTCCGGCGACGAAAACACACTTACCTGGGAGGGAGGGAGGCCCCGTTAAATACCCCGGGGCGGGAAACCTCACACGCAACCCGGCGCTGGATTTGTCGGGTTTGGGATTAGCTGGTGCGGGAATTTAGCCAGCTGTGGTCGGGAAATTACCTTCCCTGGGTTAGTGAATTGTGTGAACCCCGCCAAAGGTCGTGGATAAATCATACCTTGGCTTGGCGCGAACAGAGCCAGTGGCTGCCCCTTTGAGGAACGGTTGCGCTGTGGTCGCCTTAAAAAGCGGAGAGGTTTTGACCCGCCAGTCTGCCCCACCGGGTAAACCACGGCTGAGTTCACACAACGCGCAGAACCCGATGATAATCCTATTACGTTTACCACGCTAAGAAAGGAGTCGTTTTATGTTTGGTGCCTTAGGGTGAAAAAAGTTTGCGGAGAGGAGAATCCGTTTCCTTAGACTCTGTTCACACAATATGCTAAGCCTTAAGCAGAAGTTTATTGAATAAAACTCAACTGGCTAGGTTGCCGGACACGCTGAATCATAAGCCACAATTTAAAAACCAAAGTGACTGTGTTCAAGCAATACTCCTACACCAAAAAACCCCCGATCGACCTTATGATGTAGCCCGTCATGTGAACCGGGCCGCAGACACAGAGAGCGTGCCAGAAGCAGTAGAGATCCTGCGCCTATTCCATGTCGGAGGCATTGTCCCACTTAACGCCTTTCTGCAAACTGAAACTACTTCTGCACCGCGGATTTTGGCGACGGCTAAGTTCCTAAGTTGCCCCGTGGCTAAATGAACCAGGGATTCCTCCTTTGACCCAACTTTCGAGGCTGCAACAGCAAACCATAAACTAACCACATATTAGATTAAGCTAACATTCGGCTGGCTAATTTGCGGTTCAGTTTATCCTGCGAATGTCGTTGTTATATTGAAGTTATTAGCAAACTTTCCTGTTGTCCACCCCCCCCCACCCCCGCTCGTGGACACGCGGGGGGTGCTCAAACTCGAGTTACTTACAAGAGAGCAAGTGAAAAGAAGGCGCATGACACAGGAGGAGAACAAGCGATTCACCTGCTGAATTTCCCATTTTCTCAAAAATAATTCTATCAGTCAGATTTTCCTCCCGCAGTTATGAAACCGAAATTGTTTTCTTCTTCCCAAATGTTTCACAGCAAACATCGAACGCTGCAATTCTATACACCAGCACCCGAGCCCTAGGCAGAACCAACGGGGTTTACTTTTGAGTAGACACGGATAACCGTTTTGTTTCACCCTCTCCAACCGCGGAGATACCACGCACCTACCGGAACGGTTCCCTTCTCCGATCACGCTCCCATCGATTATTAAACAATAATCAGGGTTGAACCAGCTTGAAGGGACAATTTCACGATACTTCATATCCCCACCACGGTCAAACAAAACCCCGCGTTTTTAGATCCGCTCCATTTCTCAGCCATTATCCTACTGGCAAGTTTCTAATCATTACTTAAATAGCAGGGCAGGAAAACTCGGAATTCGGAGAAGATTCTCACGCTTTCCTATGTAGGACATCAGAGACTGCCCCGAAAACTCAGGTGGGCTTTTATTTTTTTCATAGAAAACCACAATATTTTGCCCTGCTGGGCTTACACGAAAATAAGCCCCATGGCAATCGGTTGAAGCCACTTTCGGACGAAGCTAGTGTTAACCCTCGCACTGCCTGCATTCACACAGCTTGCTGAACCACAAAGAAGCTGAACACATTTTAGCTGAGCTATTGTGCGAACCCCACCCAAGTAGTTAGTTTAGGATTCCGCCGAACCAGGAAAATTGGATTAGATTTAATAAATGAAGTGAACCATGGGTAAGCGAGTCGGGGGAACCCCAGGGCAGTATTTCCCAGACTCTGATCCAGCTCTTTACACTCGTGATGCGGGTGGGTCAGCAAGCTCAAAGGACAGGGCGGACAAAGAGATTGCGCTGCTCTAGGAGTCTAATTCGGATCAATGACGGATGATCAATAGCGGTAGGGGGTCTCTCTTCTCTTCCCTCCATATGTCCACCACCGCCTAGAAAACCCATTGATTAGGGGAGGAGAGAAAGTAGGGGCTGCACTGGATCGGAAAGTTTATTGATTGTTCGCCTATACTCAAGACATAATCGATCCTTTAAAAAAAAAGACCTTCCTGAAGCCGCGAGCATTGTCTCTCCCCTCCCCCCAAAAACAAATTTCTTTAAAAGCTCCAGGTTTTCAAAGGGGGGTTATTTCAAGTATTTGGGCTGGGCAATGAGGCGATCCACGTACTTCTCGCGGGGAAGCCCCACCGGTTCCGAAGGCGGACTCTTGGAAATCAGCGCATCTTCCCCACAAGGAGTCAGAAGCCACTCCGTTCGATCCGGCGTCAAGCTGGCCCGGGAATCCCGCTGGAGCGAGTTTATTTCTAGTCCAGCTTCTTTTGGGATCTTGAGTAGAAGCGCTGGTGCTTCAACCGACTCCGCTGCTCTGCCTGTTTACTCGAGAGTGAAACTCCCGAGGATTTTAGGAAGGCTGGTTCCAACGTTACTTTCGCACAGGATCGCAGCCTTGTCTTGCCCTCTTCCAGTTATTTTTCTTTGCGCCGATCCTACAAATATACTCTGATACTCCGACGGAAATTTCACTAGTTTAAACTGGCCTTATTCCTATATAAGGCAAGAGATTTTGGGGTGAGACTTGAAAAGCCCGCTTGCTGTACGTGTTTACTCAGAAGTAAACTCCGCCATATTTAAAGGAGTTAAAGTAATTTTATATATACTTGTCAAGCTGACGAGTTTAGGATTCACATAGGATTCAACAATCAAAGGACAACTTTAAGCCTCAGTAAAGTCACCAGGTTTGAACTGGAATGGATAGATTTATACCACCGCTTGGGAATAAACTTGGCTCGATTAAATGGGATCTGTTTCCCAATACTCGCACCTCGGTTTAAGCTTACAAACGGCTCAGAAGGGTAGCCTTACCCAAAACGCGGTTTCACTCATATCGAAACTTAGGAGGGGGACCTACTTTCTGCTAGATTTGCTCTGAATTTCACCTCCCAAAACCTGGGCCAGGCAAGAGTGGTTTAGGATCGGAAAAGCGACTTTTTCCCCAAAGGATCAAAAGACCAACTTTCCGAGCGAATGGATTTAAGGCCAGAGACTAATTTTGGATTCGTTCGGTTTAAAATTGTCCTTGAACAGTTTTTGCATCCCCTTTAAAAGAGGAATATTTGTAAGGGAAGGGGAACTGTCGAATTCCCTTGATGGGGTGGTCTAAAATCGCCTTCCTTTGCAGCTAGAGAGAGAATCGAGACAGATTTAATTTCTGGGGGGGAAAAACCAAACCTACAAGCCAGCTTCGCGCAGGCGTGGAGTCAGAGCTGTACAAAATCCCGTTTTTTGGGAAGCGCGTTACTGAGTGTAGCTCACTCACCGAAAGATTCCACAAGAGAGCTGGGATCTTTTTTTTACCCCCAGAGACTTGGGGCTGCTGCTGCAGGGGTGTATGCCCCCAGGTGGGAAGGCAGGAAGACCTGCCCGAACCTTTGAGGCTCCCCACGCACGAGAGAGACCCACGCACCCTCTTCGAAAGCCGGCCCTGTCTTTTCTTCTCTGAAGGGGGAACTTTATGCCCCAAGAGAGGGAGGAAAGGGTTTATGTCTACTCCCTTGAAGGACAGATCAAATCAAACTCGGGGTATCCTGTCCCTGGCCTCCAAACGCAACTTTTTGCATCAGCCCACCTCTTCGCCTCGGGGGTTTTACCGGCCCTTTCGCAGCGTTCAATTCCCGCTGCATCTGAAGCCAAACGGGCTTCCTCAGCTCTCCAACCTCCCTGGAGCTCGAAGTGACCCCTGAGGAGACGAGGACAGGGTTGCAGGGCTCGCGGGGGACGGGGAGGAAAGATTACCAGCCCCGTTGCCATCCTGCTGAAGCCCCTCTCCGAGGAATCCAAAGGGGTTTACTCCGGGGTAAGACTTCATTTGCACGACAGCAGTAAAAATTAAGCGCCCGGGGGCGCAGGTGAAACCAGAGGGGACGGTTCCAGTTGGCGGTTATTGTTTTTGCTCTTTCTGGAGTTTGTTTTCCAGTGGCTGCAACCCCGACCGTTTGGAGCGAGAACGCTCTCCCTTTCAGCAGCAATGGAGTTTGGAAGGAAATGTGTCCGTTGCCAAGCCCTCCGCCTCTTTCCCACCGAGTCCGGATGACGGCAAGCATTGGGGCTTAATTCAAACTTCTTCCGAAAGTCCGGCTTTGATTCTCTTCCTGCCACCAGTTTAGAAAGTGAATCTCCCGCGCAGAGCAAAGGGCGCCTACTTTTAATCCGTGAGGAAGGATCGCACGGGCGCTCTTTGCCTCACGAGGGGGAGCCGGACGCCGGCTGCGAAGCGCGATCCCGAATCCAGGAAGTCCCTGAACTCAGCAGGCGTTGCTTCCGATCTTAAGGCGGCGAAGCTGGCGTGAATTGGGAACAGGCCTGTGCGAATAAAGTGGTGCAGAGCGGGTGTCTTTTGGCGTGTCTGCTTCAGATGCGTGCTCCGGGTCAGTGGCCCAATTCACACAACACACGAAACTCTCAAGGGTGGTTTGCTGGCTTTTGGCTGATCATACGGTACTCTGTGAAGCCTCCAGTTGTGGTTTGAAATTCGCCTGTTCCGAGAATCCAGGCAATGTCGGTTTATCTTATAAAGCATGATTAAGTAAGCCGTGGCTTTGCTGCGCTGTGTGAATTCAGCCTCTGTCGGAGCGTGGGAAGCCCTCATCCGCTTTGCTCCCCTTTAGTCACTCACCCAGGCCAAGGTACTTAGCTTCCAGGCACCCAACGCCCTAAACCTGGTGTGGCCTTTTAAGTTAAGAAGTGCAGGGATGGCCCCGACCTTGCACGACTCTGATATCAAGTTCCACTGACTTCATCGGGTCTCCCTAGCCGGGAATCCAGCCCCTTGCTGGAGAAAAAGCGCAGCGTTGAGGACACTTGCTTAGCACGAGAGTTTGCCTGAAAGCAAAGTCCGAGGAGCGGACTTCAGATCCAGAGCATAACCACTTCCTCACATTACTCTAAGCCATGGTTTGGATAACCCAGGATTATTGAATAAGCCACTATCACCACCCTTGTCACACCTCAGCTGCTGAATTCACTAAACCCGCCAACCAAATCAACCACAGATTGATTTAACGGGTTGTGTGAACCAGGCCTAAATGTCACCTGTGCCCTCTCAGTTCCACTCCCGCCTTCAAGAGGCTTCTGCCGAACACCGGCCTGGATCGGGTTAGAATTAGCGCGGGCGGATCAGATAGTTGGGTTCGCGGGCAGCCCCTGCCCCTCAAGCTTTACACCCTGAAATAAAGCGGGTAAACAGGGTCTCGGTTCCCTGCATGCCACGCGAGAAGAAAGCGTTCAGTGCCAAGATTGTAAAGGCTGGTGTTTGGAGGAACGGAAGTTCGGGTGGGGCAAGTTATCATGAAGATCAGGCGAATAGCCCGTGGAGGCCATCACGATCCCCTCCTGGAGGCATTTACACTAGAGAAGGAAGACCGTTGGTGGGAATGGCACTACTTTCTTAAGAGAAGGAGCTGGGCAGCCTCGCTCTAGGACCGTTTCCTCGAAAGTAAATTTGATGCCACGCATCAGCTTCTAGAGAGCTGAAGAGACGGGGTTGTCTGAGTTCCCGGTCCGGAGAGAAGTTCAGCATCCTCGAGAAGGAACAACGGGGCTCTTAAATTTCTCTGGGTGCAGTCCCATCCACCGCCTACTGAAAAGTAAACCCCCCAAAACGTCCAGGAGACTTCCTTCAAAGTTGACTAGGCCAACAGAGCCCCCCTTCCTCGCCACTGGCTGTGTCCCTCTCTCGTGAGGATGCGAAGATCTTCCAGCCCAACCGGATATTCTGAATGCGTGCAGGGACAAAAACAAAACCGGGGACGAGCTCGGCATGGGACCGGGCATCCAGAGGGGCCTGGGGAGCAAAGAGGGCGACGACAACCCTCCACAAGCCCAACCCGGAATGGGAGTCAGCTGCAAATTCGAGATTTTGTCTACTTTACCTTTGAGCGGCGACGTTGGCATCCACCACGCCGACGTTCCTGACCCAGGAGCGGACCGGGTCCATCTCCGACCCCAGCACCTTGTCTTTCAGGATCGGCCCTCTTCCTAGCGTATCTTGGATCCCAAACATTTAAAAAGTTTATTCCAAAACCCAAACTAGGCTTCTCGGCGGAGCAAACTTCCAAACCAGCGACCACGCACCAATTCCTCTCCGAGGGAGATCGGCCGCAGCGAGCCGCCTCCGCCTTTCGGGACGCGTTGGAGGTTCTGGAGGGGCTTTGTCCCCCCGGCTCCTTTAAAACACAAAGCAAAGCGAGCCTTCACCGAAATAACGGAGGGCGGGGGCGGGGGGTGCTTCGCGCCCCTCTCTCAATTCTCGCAAGCCGAAGTCGCGGCGCGGATCTCAGCCTCTTCCGAGGCGGCGAATCATCTTCTTAGCAGCCGCTGCCGGGGCGAGAGAGCGGGGACATCGGTCCGCATCTCAGCGACGTCCTTCTCCGAGAGCGCGGGTCACCTGCTTGCCGGGGACCGGGGGTCGGCTCCGCGGCTGCCTAATCCACGAGGAGCGGAGAGCGCGAGAGAGCCGGGAGGGAGCGCAAGAGCGGGAGGGGGAGAGAACGGCAAGGGAGGGGGGAGGAAGGGGGTCAATCGCAAAAGGCAGAGGCGAACTGCTGCCAAAGAAATTCTGATTACCCCCTGAAACTGTGGCAAAGCGCGGTCGGTTTTCCGCACCGAGTTCACCATGAATGGGTTACGGCGAGGGGAGCGAACGTCCTAGGGAAAGGGGCGGGGCGCCCTTCCAACTAAGGCGCTCCGATTTGCATAGGCTCGCCCCATTGGAGGAGAAGGCGAGAGCGGCTCTCCAACGGAGACGGGCGGTGCGCGGCGTGGCGGGTTGCCACCGGAGGGGCGTGTCGCGGAGGGGGCGGGGATTGCCCGTGTTGGTGGGCGGGGCTGCCAGTGGGCAAGGGCGCGTTTTCTTTTCGGTCGGGACCGCGGACGGGCTAAGCCTCTTACCCAGCTTTGCGTTTCGGTTTGTTAAACGGACCCGGGTCGCAGGGAGGGGACCGCGGGAGCAGCTTGGTCCCCAGCTGCGTCTCCGCGGTCGTAAAGGATCTCCGGCATTCGAGGTTGCGGGGGGGCGCTCCCCTACTTGCAGCTGCCCCCCTAAATTTTATCCGTAACAGCCAGTCCTGCCCTCCGCTACCGTGTTTCCAACCCGCTCCCCCGGACTTGGAGCCCCTTTCCGACGGATTCCCCCCCGGTCTCGCATCGCCTGTCTAACTCTTCCCCTTTCCAGCTCCTCTCGGAGGGAAAAGGAAAACGGGAGTGTTTTAAAACAGGGGGGACATTCACAGCTGGGTTCCTCCGCGTGAGGTCGTACGGAGGGCTCCGTCTCCCCCTTAGGCACGCTTCCCCGTTGTGGAGCAGCGTCCTTACGCTGCTTTAGGATCGCTATCCGAGTTGGCTTGCTTGTCGGCTGGCTGCTTCCCAGAAGGAGGTGTTAGGCTGGGGTGCTAAGCTTTAACCTTTCGCACGGGCCATTCCTACAGAGAAGGGTCTGCAGGCGCGCGCGTAACCACGCTCTTTAAGAACTTTTTATTTTCTGAAGCCGAGAAAGATCCCCGCACATCAGAGTGT